CGGTGCACATCCCGCGCGGACGTCAATGCGGTGTCCTGGGGTATTTTCCACTCGCAGTGAACTGGCCGCGCAACCCCCAGTTGTGCCATCACTGTTTTTTATGTTGTGGGAGGGCGGGTGGGAATGGGCATGCCATGCTTGACTCGCTCGAGCTGGCTAGCTTGACACGTACACACACATACACATACATACATGCATGCATACATGCATACATGCATACATGCATACGTGCATACATACATATTCGCATACATACATGCATGCATACATACATACACGCATACACATACACACAAACATACATACATACAGCCATACATACATACATACGTACGTACGTACACACATCCATACATACATACACATATACATACACACATACATACGTACAAACATACACACATACATACATACATACATGCATGCATGCATGCATGGATACATACATACATACATGCAAAGACAGCACACGCAATATACACAACACACAAAACACAGACACGCGGACGTGGTGGATCCTCGTGTCGTCCTGTGCGCCACCCTCCTTTGGCCGAAGCATCCCCCTTCGTTGCATGATTCATCAGTGCGACCCCGCGTCCCCGGCGGTGGCTGTGCGCCCCCCTCTCTGTCCCCTTGGCGGAGGGTGGTCCGCTCCCCGTGCGGGGGGGTCATCCGCGCGCTACCTTTCCCCATGCAGGGGGGTGATCCGCGCGCCTCATAGCTGGCCTGGCGTTGCCGTGTGCCTCTTCCTCTCCTGTCCTCCTCGTCCCATCCTGTTAAAGCCCAGTCATGCGACCCCCCCCCTTAAGTTTCGTTCAGTGCGTCGCCCGAGCGTCGCCCGTGCGCCGGCCCTGGTTTGCGTCTCTGTCCCGAATCCCGGCCTCCCAGAGTGCGTGGGCGACGTATGGCGCGACTTCGGAATTTCTCTGGCGATATATAGGTTTCCGACGCCGGTGCACCAGCAGCCATTTTCGCGGTCGTGGCGCACTCTAGTTCGACGGTCAACCAACGCGTTCTGTTTCCAATTCGGCGCAAGAGGATTTGCTGGTGCGCATTTTCGGGGGCGCCAACCGTTGCTGAGGACGAAGACGCCTCGCGTTGATTGGGGGCTGTGCGTGTCGCGCCACGGTGGGGGTGACGTCGCGTCGCGCGACGCGGCGCCACTTCGCCCCGTCACATCGCAGGTGCGTGCGATGCGCCCCGTGGGTGCGATCCGCCCCGTTGGTGCCCGCCGCGCTGGCGACGCACTCACCAAATTGCCCCCTTGCGAGGGCGACGTGCACGTTCGAGAGGACGGCTGGCCTTGTCGGCCGACGCACGGGCGGCGCACGGGCGACGAATGCGCGACGCACCTCTTGTCGCGAAGGGGGGGGGGTCAGCACGCCAGTCGTCTTACTGGGCCTTAACATCCCATCCCCTCCCCCCCGAGGCACGGCCTCCGCGTGCGCTGCCCGTTTGACGGGCCGTCGGCCGCCCTCGGCCCTTCCTTTCTCGCCCCTTCCCTTGTGTTGTGCCTTCCTCTTCCCCCTCCTCCCCTTCCTCGGCTGGCCCCTTCCCCTCTTCAGGCCCTGCCTTCCCCTCGTGCGTGTGTGCGTGTGTGCGTGGTGTCTCCTTCCCTCCCCGTGGCTTCCCCCTCTCCCGTGTCGGTCGGCCCGTGTTCCTCGGCCGTCCGCCCGTCTCCTCCCTCGGCGGTCCGCTGCCGCTTCTCGCTCCTCGCTGCTCCCTTTCTTTCTCCCACGCCCACACCTCGCCCCTCGCTCCTCGCTCCTCGCTTCTCGCTTCTCGCTTCTCTCTTTGCCCCGTTTCCAAATCCACGCCCACACCCACACCCGCACCCGCACCCACACCCACGCACCTTTTGTTGGCGTTGCGGCCCTGCGCGCAGCGTCAGGGCGGAGAGAGTCTGGAACAGCCATAGCGCGCGTCGCAGAACGCCCGAGCCCTCAGATACCGTAGAGGTCTCGCAGCAACCGCCGCCATAAGTCATCCGGGCATGGATGACGGGGGGGTCAGCGATGAACGCTGCAGTGCGGTGGGGGGGTGCCAGCAGCCATCAAGACTGGAAGGCGGGAAGAGCGGGTAGCAGGATGACGCGACACGAGGACGATGGCCGACCTGAAGCCGGGTCGGGCAGGGGGGATAAAAGGTCACGGACGAGAGTGTGCCAGGGTCTACAATAGTCGGCTGAAGGGCACCCAAACACCCACACCCACACGCACACCAGCACCGACGCCCACACCCACACCCACACCCGCACCCACGCCCACACCCACACCCACACCCACACCCACATGCACACGCACACGCACGTACGCACGCGCACGCGAGCACCCACACCCACATCCACATGCACTCGCACACGCGCACGCGCACGCGCACGCACACGCACCCGCACCCGCGTACGCACTCGCACACGCGCGCGCACGCACACGCACACGCACGCGCACACGCACACGCACACGCAGACGCAGACGCAGACGCAGACGCAGACGCACACGCACACGCACACGCACACGCACACGCACACGCACACACACACACACACACACACACGCACAGCACCCGGCACAGCACAGCACACGCACACGCACTGCACAGCACAACGCACACGCACACGCACACGCACACGCACACGCACACGCTCACGCACACGCACACGCACACGCACACGCACTCGCACACGCACACGCACACGCACACGCACACGCACACGCACACGCACACGCACACGCACTCGCACACGCACACGCACACGCACACGCACACGCACACGCACACGCACACGCACACGCACACGCACACGCACACGCACACGCACACGCACACGCACACGCACACGCACACGCACACGCACACGCACACGCACACGCACACCGCACACGCACACGCACACGCACACGCACACGCACACGCACACGCACACGCACACGCACACGCACACGCACACGCACACGCACACGCACACGCACACGCACACGCACACGCACACGCACCCGCACCCGCACCCGCACCCGCACCCGCACCCGCACCCGCACCCGCACCCGCACCCGCACGCGCACGCGCACGCGCACGCGCACGCGCACGCGCACGCGCACGCGCACGCGCACGCGCACGCGCACGCGCACGCGCACGCGCACGCGCACGCGCACGCGCACGCGCACGCGCACGCGCACGCGCACGCGCACTCACCAATGCACACGCACACACGCATACGCATCACGCACACGCCACGCGCACACGCACACGCAAACGCACTCGCACACGCACCACGCACTCGCACACCGCCACGCACGCACACGCTTTTCCGTTCTAAACACCAACGCGCTTTACACATCGTTGCGGTCGGGCCTTGTTTTTCCGCACGCGCTTGCCAACGCCATGTGAGCACGTGCACGCGCACGCGCACGAGCACGCGCCACGCGCACGCGCACGGCACGCGCACAGGCACATGCCACGCACACGCACACGCGCAGCAGGCGCACACCGCCCTGTCACACACGGCACGCGCACACGCACACGCACACGCACGCGCACACGCACACGCACACGCACGCGCACACGCGCACGCGCACGCGCACGCGCACGCGCACACGCACGCGCACACACACGCATGCGCACATGCACATGCACACGCACGCGCGCACGGACACGCACACGCACACGCGCACGATCACGCCCACGCACACACGCAAGCGCATACACACACGCACGCACACGCGCACGCACATGCGCACGCACACGCACACGCACACGCACACGCGCACTCACACTGACACAGTCACACGTTCACCCATTCATTCACTTACTCACACATACACACACGCACATACGCACCCACACACAACACACAACACACAACACACAACCCCTGCATAACACAAACAGACACGCACAACGAACATGCCACACAACCACAGCACACACAACACACACACAACACGCACACGCACGACGCGCACACACGCGCACACACACAGAAGGACACACACACCCATACACAAACACAGACAGACAGACAGACAGACAGACAGACAGACAGACAGGCAGGCAGACAAACAGACAGACAGACCGACAGTCAGACAGACAGACACACACACACACACACACGCAAACACAGACATGCCCACACACACGCGCACGAACATGTACGCACACGCACACGCACACACGCACATACACACGCACATACACACGCACACACAGACACACCCACACACGCACATGCACACACAGACACTCACACACGCATGCACGCAGACATGGGGCTCCACGCGCACAGCATATCGGAGTCCACACATAAGGATCCACACCCACAAGGGGTCTACGCGTATGGGGTTTTATACAAGACGACAGCGCACAGAGTACCACTCGAATCCACCCCTCTGGTGGGAAAGCGCATCGAGGCCCGAGGGCTCAGGAACCGCACATATTCGGGGCAGCCCCACTGGAGAACTACATATCAGTTGGGCATGTCCCTGCACAGGAGAAATATTCAAAAATATGTAAAAATAGTCGGGGGACGATCGTTCGACTGTTTTTGGGTATTGTTTTTTTTTCCGCCCCACGTCCGCCTGTAGGAGGACATGTTCGACGTAAAATTACACGGGTAAGGAGCCCTCAAGGCGCGGTTTTTTTTTCAGGGCCATCTGTGCCAGATCCAGGAGCGTGCTTGGATTGTCGTTGCAGCATTTCGAAGCCTCTGGTCGTCATGAGAACATTCAAGGCCGCAGCTCCCACGAGTCGGGCACCAAGCTGGTCCGCAACAGGCCAGACGTTCGTCCGCATCGTGGGAATTTCACCTCCTCTGTAGCTTGGCATCGCTCGGACGTGTGCATTTTTCCTTCGGCGAGGACCATCGAGGAGCATCCTTGATCATTTGGCGAGAAAACCACGCACGAAACCGAAAAAAACACAGGGAATGGACGTCCGAGCGATGCCCAGGTATGGGGTTGGGGAGGGACAGAGATCTCGCACGCCCGTGCCTCCAAGAGGTCAGCGAGCTTTGCAGCAGAAATACAACCTGGAAGTCTAGCCCTGCGCCCTGCCCCCTAGACTATTACCTGGCCAGCTTATGACAAAGGGGAGGGAGGTGAGGACAAGTTAGACAGATGCTGTGGACTTGGAGGTGGACCTTCTCTTTTCTAAGCCCTGCTTGAGCAGATCTCTCTGGGTGCCGTTGTATACAATATCACGGTGCCCTTCTCGCTGCCGCTGCAATAAGACGGAGGAGGTGCGAGCAGCTTCTTCGGGAGATATTGGCCTCCCAGCATGCACGTGACTAGCAGGCGACGCTTTTCGCCCCCCTTCCATTGTCAACGTATTCATCAAGTGGTCAATCGGCTGTCTTGCTCTCGTGGATGCGGCGGCCAAACTATTTCTTCGATACTTGAATAAAGATACCGACCCTTACAAGCAATTCGGTTGAGCAGGATGGGATGCAGACGCACATGGTTCCCTAGTGGACGGCACAGAAGCACGTCTACGCCCTCTCTCCGCCAGTTGGAGTCTCTCGCTGCTTTTCCATGGCCAATCATATTCTGTCTCATGCCAGCGAATCCCCGATATCTGGCCCAGTTTTGCCGTCCTTGTGTTCTCCCTCGGGAGATCTCCTGGGGCATGGTCAGAAAGCAGCCAAGGAAGAGTGAAGGGCAAGGGCGAGCTGGATTCAGCCTCGAGAAGGGTGAGCTGGAGTCAGCCTCGAGAGCTCTTCTGGGCTTTTTCTGCCAACTACAGCGCTCCCGCTTTCCCCCTTCGTCGCCGTCGCCTTCTCCCACCCCGTCCCATCCCCTGATGTCCGCTCCCGGTGCCCATCTCTTTCCCCTCCCCAAGCAACAGGATGAAGTTACTTTCCCTGCGGCGGGATGCCAAGCAGACAGAACGAGCGTTCGAACGACGGAAACCACATGCCCGTCTTTTCCGCGACTGTTTTTCCTTTGGCCGTTGTCTGCCATCAAGACAACCCCGTCGTCGTCATCGTCGTTGAGTGAAGAGGGTTCGAGCGTGCGAGTGATATTCCGTGGACTCGCCCTCCTGCTTTGTGAGGCCGTGGGGAGCTCGAGGTGGGCCTGGGAGACTGTCAGGTTGGATACCGAGTGTTTCGATGCCACGTCCTCCCAACTCCGTCTGTTGACTGCTAGTCGTCGCCTTTGGGATGGGGCGCAGAATCGCTTCTGAGCTTGGCACCAGAATCGGATCTGACAGGCGTTAGCAGCGCGTGACTATGGCACTGCAGTTCCTGGGGTCAGACCAGTTGACGTTAGCGCCGCTTGGGGCTTCAACAGTCAGCTTCTCGTGGTGGTCGGCTTGTTACCATCTCTAGCTGTTGATGCAGGGGCGGACCAGTTGTTCAAGTATCGCCCAGCCGGACAGAGGGTGTGATGCACCTCCTGTGCGTTTCTGCAAAACCACTCGGGAAGCTTAATGTGGAAGCTTCCTACTCGAAGACAAAACAGGGGGCGATCGCAAACCCTTGCACGTGCGGCTTCATACCCCCGCTGTCTTTCGCTTGATGTTGGACTGCCTCTCAGCTTGCCTTTGACTCGTCTTGGACTTACTGTGTGCGTGTGTTCATGCTGAATATGTTGACCATAGCGTGCTCTTGACATGCTGGTAGTTTGCGTTTGTTGGCTTGCTTCTAGCCCGTCAGACTCTGATTGCCTGTAGGTTGTCGGGTTCAGCTTGCCTTCGCTTTGCATTTATTCGCTTTCCGCTCGGCTTAGACTGGCAGTCAACCGACTTGCGGCTTGCTTGTTACGTGCTGTTCGTTCGCCTCGCATTGGCCGTTCAGTTCGTTTACAGTGTGCCTCGTAGCTTGTCCCCAGCTTGCATTCGGCTTTGCTCCTGTTTGCCTCGCGACTGCCCTGTATGGCATGTAGCTTTCCTTCATACTTTCCGTACGATGGTTTGTTGCTTGTCTCAGGCGATCCAGAAACGATGACGGGAGGAGTTGCCTTGATCAGGGACGTGGAGGAGAGCGCAGTGTAACAAAGGGCTTGGTAAGTCGTCGTACCCCAAGAGGGGGAGGATGGAGGAGGAATCGAATGAGGAGCAGGAGGAGGAGGAGGAGGAGGAGGAGGAGGGGGAGGATGGGGGAGGGGGAGGGGGATGGAAAGAAGGGATGAGAAAGGAGTAGAAACAGGTGGAGGCGGAACAGGCGGATGATGATGAGGAGGAGGAGGATGAGGAGGAGGAGGAGGAGGGCGAGCAGAAAGGCCATAGGCGTGTTGGATGCCTCTCGAAGTCTCGTCGATTTTTACCTAACAGCGAAGACTGATAGGTTTCTAGTGGGGTAAGAAGAGAGCAGCACATTACTCCACAGGGGGGTCTGGGCAGCCGTTGGGGACGAGTTGGGGTTTGCCGGCGGGGATCGTTTTTCGCATACAGTCACACACTTCGTGCTCTTCGACCTCCCAGAACTCCATTCCCGGGCCACATTCTGAATGCCCGGAGCCAACTGTAGGCCACTTCGTGCTCTTCGACTTCCCAGAACTCCATTCCCGG